GTTGAACAGAGCCTGGCCGTAAAGATTCGGACCGAACCCAGCCCCGTTTACAGCTCTCTGGCCCTCAAATGTGTGAACTTAAATTCATGGCTAGTTGTGAATTGATGGGAGGGGTCAACATAAAACAAATACATCCATTTCATGAGTCACTACATTTTGATAAGCAAGTAATCCTTTTGTAGAACTTCCTTTGTTTAGTAATAAACAACTAGGTTTAATTTAGAAAAATATTCACAAAGATGTTTCTTGCGTGAGCTGTGCTCTAAATACTTCAACTAATCATCAATTAATTAGTACAGTTGGTTGAATTTCCAGGCAAGCATGAAACATCAACAGGAAACCGCAAAAGATTAATCCAAACATCCCCATCAAAGAAAGGACTATCCATGCCTTCACAATATGAAATTTTTATAAAAATTTAGTTGGACTGACCAAATAACTATATATATATATATAATTGAAACTAAATTTTTCAAAGAATCATGCATTATAAAAATTTGACCAATCAAAATTCGTCGAAATTCGGATTATTATTCTACTTTTATTTTAATATTTTTCATGCTATAAAAACCATGTATTAAGTGCAACACAAACAGCTCAAGACTCAAACAAGGGTTGGAAATTAATTAAAATGGGAAGCTGCTGCTGCTCATCAGCCTATGTGAGCTTAAGCTCCAGTGAGACAGTGGAGAGAGAGAGGGTTAGAAAAGGTTATGTCCCAATTCTGGTGGGGAAAGAAATGGGAGACATGCAGAAGCTATGGATACCCATCAAGCTCCTCAGCCATCCAAGAATTGTTGCACTTCTCAGAAGGTCAGCCCATGAATTTGGGTTTCAACAACAAGGCTTGCTTAAGATTAAGCATGATGTTCATCTTTTTAAAGGTATGATGAAGAGCATATTATGGAAATCAAAACAAATATATGTAAGTAAAATGAACATTCCTGTGTAATTAATGATCACTATTCTAACTCCATCTTGTAGAATTTATCTCCAGGCTCCTTTTATTGTTGAGAATTTCAAGGACATTTAATTAACATTTGTGAAAAGAAAGCTGAAGAAATTGCACTTCAATAGTTCAAAATTACTTTTTTTAGAGTGCTAATAACACTTCTCTCGGATTGACTGATGCGGAAAAGAATAGTTGCAGTACTCCGCGAAATAAACATCAACTTCCTCCAAACGACAACGTTTGAATTTTCACAGTTTTGTAATCTATGATCTATGAAATGAGCTCATCTAGATCTGCATGCAGGCAGCATGACTTGGTTTAAAGAAGTATATTTCTTCAAAAATAAATAAATATAAATCTCCTGAGAAAAATAAAATTAAAAATCATTACTATGAAAGCTAAAATAACTGGAGGTCTGGCTTTATCCCGCTAATCAAAATCAGTTCAGATTTGGTCAGAAACATGCCATACAAATTGTTTGGTACAATACAATAAGGAGCATTGGTTTATTGATATTCAAATTTCAAATCGTTGAAATGGTCCAGCACAGGATTAGTACTAGCACTTGAGCTAAAACTGAAAGCCTCAAATTCGGTAATGCCCTACAATAAGCGCTAGAGTTCCTCTCAACGTATGTTCTTTATTTAAGTACAGATTGTCGATATGATATTGATAAGGTATCCAGGGACGGACCTGCCCTTGGACTAACCTGAGCTGTAGCCCAGGTTACTTTCTTTTCACCAACCCACAAAGTAACTTTTGTAACCAATGTGTCTATCCTGGCAATCCCCACTAGACTCAATCAACAGACTACTACAACTTTTGTTTAAATATTGAGATATTTAGTAATATACTCATTCTTAGCACTAAAACTATAAATAAACCCTATACCATTTAATTTTTATAAACAAACCCCAAAAATTGACAGCTGGCCCTATTGAATTTAATTTTGATTATTAAATTACTTTGATGTCCAATTGAGTGTTTTGGGCTTTTTAATGAGGTTTTGAGGTTAGGTTTGTATTAAGAAATCAATGACAGTTTTGTAATTTAAAAGAAGTTAAAAGCATTTTTGTTATGTTGTAAATGGGATTTAGGTGTGTTTCTAAAGTTCATTTCATATAGGGTTTTTTTTATATAATTTGAGCTTCTATATTGGATATAATAGTGAATCTCCCTTAAATATTTAACACACTCCCATATCTATTGCTTCTATATATCGTTTTAATACTATGTCATTAATTAATATACATTAACATTATATAAATTACAGTCTTTGTCAACTCGCAATATACTCACTTAAATCACTCAAACTCACTATGCAACAGATTTCTTTCAATTCCTTTTTTGTTTTGTTTTTTTTATAATAAAAAATTCTTTCAATTCTTTTGTGTAACATTTCCTAAAGTTTCACTAACAATTTCCATTTTTTTTTTTATCAAATTTGTACCTATATCAATAATTTGTCGGTATTTTCTAGTTTTTGGACCACCAATATGAAATTATCAAAATTTAGTAGGTTTGTACGTAAGGTAAATTTAACCCACCCAATTTTCAAATCCTGGGTCCGTCCCTAAAGATATACATGTCATGTCAATAGCAAAACATATTCCGTCCTGATTTCTAGATTTATAAAATGTTTTAGCAAGGAGGATGGACAGTGACAAATGTATATATAGAAGGCCGTGTCACAACAATATCCCTATCTGATATATCCTCTGCCCCAATCTTTTATAAAATGTGATCTTTCTATAAAAGGAAATTCTGGTATCCTCTGCCCCAATGTTTCATAAAATGTGATATTTCTATAAAAGGAAATAAAATGTGTTTCACATTCTACAGGTTGGCTCCAGATCTCATTAGTTTGGCAACCAATCAAAAGTCATAACTATATTTCTGGCAGAATACTGAACGAGGCATGTTTTTTTTTATCAATTATTTGCCACTAGCCTCTCTGCATGCGCTTCCGCGCTTGCGAGAGGCTTTTTTTAAAAAAATTTAAATTTATTTTAGAATTAAAAAAGAGAATGGGTAGTAGTGTTCCATAAAAATAGGATCCATTATCTGACTTTTCTTTTAATTTTAATTTTTTAAATATGAAAAGTGTGAATTTACCATATTAACCTCATTTAATTAATAATTTCAATTCTTAATGTTTGTATTAAACAAGGGCATTTTCTGGTATTTTGAATGTTTCACCATTCTCTGCCTTTTGCTTTATATATATAGATAACAAAAATCCATTCTTCTTATGGCAAATAATTGATAAAAAAATCCATTCTTCTTAACCAAGGTGGTTGGTGTGAGTGGTTCGGCACTCTCATTCCTTAAGAGAGGTCAGGGGTTCGATCCCTGCTCTCGTACGGAGTCACCACTTTGGCCAACACTTTACCCCTTATGGGCCCACCCGGTGTTAGTGGGGATTAGTCTGGGTTGTGGTTAAGGCTTAAAGGTGCCACCCATAGTTGGGGCCCATCCAGAACCACCTCATGGTTCAGACAAAAAAAAAATCCATTCTTCTTTTTTTTGGTAGTATTGTTTATATAAATAAAGATTTGTGTGTATTAAAACATTCATTAGACAGAATACCAATGACTAAAAAACTACGTCGTTGTAGAAAATAATTTATTTTAGCATTTGTTGGGAAAATGTAAATGCTTATTAGATCATATTTCTTATGTTATTGCTTCCTCCTGGCCTTGTTCTTATGTTCATACTTCGGTTTTGAACTTTTAATTTTATTTTTGGTCAAAGTCTGAACTAAATCGAGCCCTTTTTCTTTTTTTCTTGGTTTAGCGGGTTTTTTTACCAACCATTAGTTCTTGAATATATATAGTCCTCTTCTATTGAGGGATCCTTCAAATAATTTTATTTCAAGGAAACTCTTTAGGTTCCCTTATAATTATTTTTTTCAACGGTCCAAACCGTCTACTTATCAAGTTTTCAATCATAGATCATCCTTACAAAAAATGAAGCAAATTGAAAATCATTAAGGCTTCTAAAAAAGACTAATAACAACCATTTAATTGAGTGGTCAAATGATTTCGGATTCAAGTGATTTTTTACAGAGATGATCTTTGATGTAATATCTAAAAACTAGACAACTCGGATCATTGAAATACAATGTGTGGTGGGCCCTACAAGGGTGTCCCTCAAATATGAGAGATCCCTAAAATGAAGCTCAATGTATATAAATAATACAAGCGATAGTCTAAACTATATAAATTATACATACCATCAAAGTGCCATGACTAGTTCTTGAATATTGATCAATCTTTCCAATATTGGCACAAAAATTCATTTAATAATCAAATCGAAATAAACATTTTAGAATAAGGGGTAATAGTACTGAATTCCACTCACAATTATTGTGCTAGCCAGTTAAAACCAAACCAAAGAAAAAGAAAAAGAATTGAAATGAAACTTTATATAGTGCAGGATCAACAAGTACATGTACTCTCGTGATAGCTAAAAGCCTAAAATGACACCAAAAAGAGACCTAAAAACAAGATGAAAACATGTGTAGAATTCACATGCACTAAACACAATGACAATGACCAGCAACCATTGCACATGCTGCTCATCTCCTTCTCCTAATGCCCTTTTTCTCCATCCGCCAATGAGCAAAAGAATTGAATGAGACCAAAAAAGCACACTCAATGGTTCATCTGAATTTGGTAAAAGTGCATGAGAGGTACACACCAAATTACCAATAAAATTGTAGCCTTTTTCCTTTTAGGCTTAGAAGATTGGGTTTTCATCAAAGATATGGTTTTTGTGCAATATATGTGTCTTGTTAGGAGCCATATGTGATGTCCTATATGGTAGAGTTTTCCAAATCCTTGTTCATTATTTGGCTTTTTTCAATCTTTCTTGGTCCCCCATATGTGTTCGACCCAATTCTAGCAATAGCAATATTAGGTAAATGTTATTTTCAAGATGACCCGTGATGCCAGTAATCTGCGCCCTTGACATGGCAATCGATATGCCTGCTTGGGCCCTACCTTATCACTATATAAATCAATATTGTATTCTAAGGTTTTTATCCAAGTTCTCTTAAAAAACTCTTCTTCTTTTCCTTTGAAAATTGTTTCTTCATTTTGTGCACTTTTTTAACGATTTATTTTCTGTCATACATGGCCTCTGATGATGTATCAGAAAGCATGCAGCTTGTTCTTGGTAAAGATGAGTTTGAAGACTTTGAGGTCACAGAAGTTGATGGAGCCCTTCTTTGGGACTTGCTTGAAGAGTTGGAGAATGAGGAGGAGGAGAAGAAGGATGAGAAAATAGGGGATGTTGATGATGCTAATAGCATGACAGATGGGCAGGTTTCAGTGGAGCAGCATGATGAGATTTGCACCCCTGACTTAAAGTGGGGAGATGCAGACATGGCGGAGACAAACCCATCATCATATGAAATGGAAGCTTGGTTTGCAGATGACATGGTGGGAATGGTGGATTTTGGTTGTGGCGTTGGAGATTTTCCACAGTTGCGTAATGGTCTTCACATTGGAGCCTCCTGCAATGAAATAACTTACAATTGCTTGTGGGGAGATAGTTGATTATAAGGAAAAGTGTGTGCTTATGGATGTGTAGGGAAGAATAATTAGAAATGTTAAAGAAGCATGATCCATGGACCACCTTTACCTGCGCATGTAATATAATATATGCATGTCACCAGTTACTAGAATATTTAATTTACTGTCATCTTAATTAAATAAGTAATGACAGAATTTCACTTCAGTCTTTGTGTGATAGTCAAAATTATACCCTAAGTTCATGACATATCAATCATGTCGTCCACCCATGTTATAACATTAGAATTGGTATCACTGCATAATGATGTCACGATTAGACCTTATCCAATCTTGTGGGTAACATTACTCTAATGATAGCTAAGGTGCGCATTAAGCCAAGGATAACATATGAATTGGTATCACCACATCAGGATGTCATGATTAGACCTTGGAATTTCTCCAATATTGTGGGTAACATTACTCTCATGATAGCTAAGGTGCGCATTAAGCCAATTTACAAAGGCGGTGCCTTGCACCATACGGCGCTAGAAACCCCACTTCAAAATATTATTCATCATATCAGCAAAGTAGATAACGCACACCAACTTCAATTTAAAAGATAACTAACGCACGCAGCTTCCTTGTAGTATTCGATACAACTCATTCATTCATAAAAGTTATGTAGTGGTCACTGAATCAAGAATTCAATAATTGTAGGAAACTGTCATTTAAACTTGTCAAGAACTTTTCTTTAATACAGAAACTTATAGAAGATGTATTCTTAATCCATTGGTATTCTCAAGTGTATGAAATATTGAACCTAAAAGGAAAGACCGCCTTGAATGATATTCCAGATGGAGAAGTTCTGAATTTGAGTTAGACTACATGTCGTATTCAAGGGGAGAAGTTCTGATCTTGTCAAGATGAAGAGTTTTGTAAGTCTGCCTCATTTGATCCAACCACAAACTTGGCTATGAAAAACCCGATTGTGTCAAGCGGGGACGACGGATCAAACCTCTGAACAAGTTCTTCCTCACCAGGTCTTAGCCACTCCCTGTGACGTCAAGCATGTAAACTGGTTATTTGATTTGATTTTTCTTTTCTTTGGTCAACAATAAAGACTTGCTATTGGACGCTGAAGTCAATCATAATGAAGAGCAGATGATGATTTAAAGCGACAAACATTATTAGTTCAATAATGATTTTTTCTTTCAAACGTAAGAAAATTATTCTAATTGCGTGTTTTCCAACTTCAATCTACAATAAAGAGAAGCGTACTAAGAATGAATGTAAACAACTGCATATGACATGGAAATGAATGAACTTACTCAGCATATCCATCAGGAAATTCAAAGCGCCCAACAAGACCAGGTCCTCCGATTCTTGGGTGCTGAAAATCAAAGTCAATAGCAAATGCAAAATCAGAAACGAGATACTGATACTTCCTCATTGTTAGGAAAAAAAATTGACAAATTCAAGAAACTAAATTATATAGACCTCCCCTAAACTAATCGAACCTGTGGTGCCAAGGAGAGGAATTTATATGTATCCAAAGCATATCGAACCAAAGCTTCATTCTCTCCAGGATTTATTGTACATCTAGAGACAAAAAAGATACAGAAAGTTCAGTTCAATAGTAGAAAATACACATACAAGAATAAAGTTCAATAACTTCCATGTTAGGCATATCTACTAACGTTGAGTACACAATCACTCCACCCGGGCGAACTAACTGAACAGCCTGATCAAACATTCTCCTTTGATATATCGCATGCTTTCTCAAGGATTCGATTGTTTCCTGGAATAAGCAACTAACTTTATCAAACACTTACAGAATGTTAAGTAATCTTACTTGTAACTAAAATACCTTGTATATGCATACAAACATAAGATATTAACAAGACAACGAGGCATTAAAAGTAAAAAGAACAACCAAAGAAATGAACAAACAAAAAAAAACTACTGTAAATATGTATTGATTGGGTTATAGTACCTCTCCAGTAAATAGTCGAGGTCTTAAACCAAGGGCAGAACAAGGTGCATCAAGAAGAACTCGATCAAAGCTGTGGGGAGCAAAGCCTTTTGACTTCTCAACCTTGCCACCCAAGCACTGATTTCTTCCTGGACCATTCCGTTTTCTTCGCATTTCCTTCCTGATGTCAGCTTTGCTAATGTAAGAACTCTCATTCGCTTTTTCATTGCTAACTAAAACATTGAGTTTATTAGAACTGAATTTCTAATTTCAGAAAGAAGCATTTGTCATGCTTATAACAAAACCAAAAGGTTGACTACTGTAGCATTGATATGGAAAAGAAAATTACATATGGAAGACATATTCTAATAAAGATTTTTATACCATGCCACTAGTTTAAGGAGGTTATCAGCTACAGTGAAACTCCTGAAGAATTAAAAACTAAGCATACCCTTAAGCCCAATGAAAGGTGGGGGAGGAGGCTATGCAGGATTGAATCATTTCAATCCACAAAGTGAGAGGCCAATTAACCTCCTGTATTCCGATAAAACGAAAACTATAACTCAACCTCAAGTAAGGGTTCAGGGATATAGAATATATTTCAACTTTTAATATATTTGATCATCGAAAACACCACGTTAAGTTTTTAGAATGCATAAAGTCACAAAATACTGAAATTTCATTTAATGACCTTGTTCACAAATTACTATCATTATAAACTGCTACACTGATTCCAACAAGTTCCAGTTCCCAACTATCAGAACCAGAATACAGTGCACAACTATGAAAATTGGTCTCATGTACCTATACAAGGAGAATTTACCTACCAGCTTTCTTAAAATCCTTCTCAGCATTCAACCTTTCAAAAGTAATTGATTCAATTTTCTCTACTTCTGACTTCATGAAGTTGGAATCTTGAATGTGTCCACCATGATTATCCTTAGCACAAGATGGATCAGACAAATCTTCAGATTCGTTCCTTACACAAACAGCTTTTAGAGCATCAAGTTTATATGGGGTTATACAACTCAGGCCCATTTCAGCAGCCAATTTGTGAATACCTTGCACCTGCAAAATATAGTGGGGCAAAAATAACACATGAAACCCGAAGCCTGCAAACAAACCAAGAAGGGGGAATGTTCATCATGGGACATTGAAAATCCTAGATCAATGGACTTAATTTTATCTTGCCACGATATGATGTAAATAAGGAACATAGACTCTAACCACCTATAAGAACTGCAGGAGACCAGATGGAGACACCTTACATAAGGAACTGTAATGCACAATATGACTTAAATAGGATTCTGGAATCATAGAGGAGACTTTTTTTAATCACGTCTCTAGTTAGGAAGTTTACCTTATTGTGAGATCTATCAACAGCAACGATTTCTCCTTCATCCTTCATAAGAATTGCTATTGCAGTTGTTTTCCCTCCCGGTGCAGCACACATGTCTAGTATGCGCTCACCTTTTTGAGGATCTAAGACATAAAAAGAAAAACAATAACAATAACTAAATATATAAAAAAAATTATCATCAAATATTCTGAGATGAGCGAAGTAAGCAACAGCTAGCTAATTCCTATGGAAGGAACCATCCTTCACAACTATGATCGATCATAGAAATATTAATGACACCATTAAAGAAAAACCATGATACAGATCACTACTTTGCAGAACACCTATAAAATGATGTAGTTTTTGTGAAACAGAAGCATTCAGAGTCAATGATTATTAGGAAACAACAACACACGTAAATTCCTTTAGTTAACCATAACACTGTAATAGTTACCTAGTGCACGAGCAGCGACAATGCTTGGCAGATTTTGAAGAAATATTTGCCCCTCAAGCACGTCTGGAAGCCAAGACAAAAGAACATTGGAGTTATAGAAACTTTTTATATAATGCAAAACCATAAACACAAACCATCCCAGAAAAAAAAAACGCAACGATCAAAACAGAAAGCAAACCACGAAAGTGCAAGCACCTACTCATCAATTAGCAACAAACAAAAGATATACCATAAATAAAGAAAATCAAAGTTCCCTAATTTAAGACCCATGTCAGTTACTAAAGAGATTATCTTTCACAGTATGGAATAAAAATCTGCATTAAACAATCCATGTAATATTTATATGCAACAAAGAATGAACTAAAAACCATGTAAAACACTTGATAAGCTAGAGGAGGAGCCAAGCAACATCTTCAGACGACATGAAATTCATTAAAAGAGAAATAGGAGTATGTGCTTTTGTACTATCTATTTCCAATAAAGTCTTCACTATAATTTGTGGACAAGTAATGAATCATACCACGAAAGGAAGGCAGATGAAATACTCTGTCACTCATGTCCACAGCAAGCCCTTCTGTAACACGGAACATCCCGGACCTTGACATCATTGCTCTTCCTTGGCCGATATACAGCCCACTTCGTTCAAGATGATAAGGATCTAAAACAACATTTAAAGGAACATGTATAAAACCCATGGTCACTAAAGCAAAGTCACAATCTTTGTATTTACAACACAAAAAAGAATATGAGAAAAATAAATAAATGTGCTTAAGATTAATATAATCAACACATTACAAAAGTACAAAACCAAATAATAACATTTCAAGCATCCATAAAATTTACATGATGTGCTCCTTACCATATTCTTTTATCCCACATTACCACCCATTTGCCATTCTTAAATCCTACCACCCTCCTTTACTCCGATAGTGGTACATGATTAAATACACTAGTGTTACCTGTCTGTGAACCTTGCAGCACAGTCCCTCGAGTGATCCCAACGCCCCATCCACCATCAACACCAGGCTGCTCAACCGAGACTGAAACCGCAACCAATTCCCCTTTCTCAACATGAGCACTGCAAGCCAATACACCAGGAACGTACACCTACATGTCAAAATAAAAAATCAAATTCATCCCAGCTACCACTGAGTGAGCAAAGCAAAGCAGAGGCAAATCAAAAGAACACAAAAAAGGCTTACCTGGGCACCTCGAAGAACTGCCTCGGCACATTTCCGGCTCACAAGAACCTCCTTTGGAGGCTTCCCATCTGCAGCATAACCATAATTAATGGTGTGAGGGCCTGAACCCCTCACAAACACAACGTTGTCCAGCCCTGCGACGTCACACTTGGAAATGTAAGCTCTGTTTTCTTTCAGAACCGCCGTCAACTTGTCAATGACGGCATCGGGCGTGGTCTTGAGTGTGTTCACGCGTATACAGGAGTAGCAAGACGGGCGCCTAAGCAACCCAAAAACAAAACAGAAAAAAATAATCAAACAAAGCTCATGAGAAAAAATGAAATGCACCGCTGAATGGGTTAATAGGTAGAGAGAGAGAGAGAGAGAGAGAGAAGTACGTCAGGGCTTTGGAGATGCGAGAGAAATTTTGGGGTCCATAGGCATTGGAGAAGTAGCTTTCGAGCTCAGCGTTCCAACGCTGAGTTGGGTTGTAAGAGTAACGCTCTGGGAAATCTTCCATGAGTTTGTGCTGCTTGGTGAAGAAGCTGCCGATGGTTTTGGACAAGCCCCAAGCTTTCTTCTTCATTCAAAGAAGCGGAAGGGAAGCAGCAGACACCATTTTGCTTGCTTGCTTGCTTGCAGCAGCTCCAGAGACTCGGGCAATCGGGCTTGGGGTTTTTGGTGGCAACCTGGGCCGAGACTAAAACCTTTTCCAAAGCGCGAGTTTTGGGCTTCGAGTTGTTTGGAGGGCCTGTTTGGCGCCAAAAGGAAGGTTTGTGAGGATGACACAATTTGTAGACGCAAAGACACCATTTGTAGGAGAAACACTCTCATACAATAGTGCTTTTTGTTATTTCCGATCAATAATATTACGATATGTAAATTAATTTTTCCATGTATCATTGTGTTATTAGTCGAGGATAAAAAAACATTGCTATCTCCATTACACAATTATTATTTTTGCATTTGTAGACGCATAGAGTACAAAGTTACAAATTTTTTGTTTCTTTTGTTTTGGTGAGGAAGTTGCAATCTTTTGATACAATTAATTGAAGATATTTTACTACAAACAGTTCATTCTAAACCTGGTACGGTTAACGGTTTCAGTCATTGGTTTAGTGACTTGCACACGTGTATAATTGTCATTAACATTCTACTTTATTAAATAATAAGATATTATATTTGAAATCACAAGTAACTCATTTAACATTCATTTAATAAAATCAAAGTTAATTACCTCTAAGCCTAGATTCGAAATGACGATAACTAAGGAGTTTTTCCATTTAAACCTCACACTTTTCTTTGTTCACCCCAATACTTAAATCATTAAGCTCTTAAGTTTTATTATTGTGTAAAAAGACAAAAAAAATTCATCCAACTTAATACTTAACCCTAGTACATCTATATACACACCCCACCACTTTTCTTCAAATTAAGCAAGTAATTTCTGTTGCGTTTAAATAAAGAGTCATATAAGGATAGCCAACATCTCTTTGTTACAAAAAACAGAGCCCACCGCTCTGTTATTCCCTTAAAAAATAATAGCCGCAGCTCTTCTTTCTTAGCACAGTCCATCTCGTGCTTGTGTTGTGCCTAGCTATCCTACCAGCAATCGAATGATCATGTAAAAATTACATGTTTGTTTCCTCTAACTGACCTGAAAATTCATAGTAAACATGTTGTCAGTAGAAATTCAAAGTCTATACCATGTTCTGTGCGCCAAGAATGATGAATGTTGGTCTGTGTAGGGGTCCAAATCTGTAAATATTTGATTAGACATAAGCATTCCAACCTCCAAGCATTTGATTGGTATAGTCCATAGCGAGATCGCAATGAAAATTGGAAAGAGCTTGTTGGTTCATTTGATAGTGGGGGTGTGGGGTGTGAGGTTGATGAATTTTTTATTTATTTTTATTTTTTTTTGCTGGATGTGTATTTAGGGGGTAGTTTGGGAAGATAGTGAGATTTTCTTAGAAATTTTGAATTAGAAATTGGGGTGAACTTAGAATACAAAGTGAACAAAGAGAGATGCGATGTTTAAATAGAAAAACTCTAACTAAATAACAACATAACTCAACTAGCACTCCCTTGCACCGGATTAAAGTTAATTACTACTATAAACTCAATAGCTAAATTGAATACGAGCAGAATAAGAATGAGAACAAGGCTACTCACCATCCTTGATTAGTGGTGAATGTTATCATCATATTCTGTGTCATTGAATTGAATGAGTGTGATTCTCAAATAATATGACCCTTTATTCTTAATCCGATTAGGACACAACATAACTCGGCCGAGACTCGTTGGCTGTCGCTCTCTTCATTCCCACATCGGATTTGGCGCGCGCAAACCAATCGCAATCCTTGCTGTTGCCGATCTCACACTACACAACACAACTCGAAAAGCACAACAACAATAATAATGGACAGCAACACCACCACCTTAAAAAATGAAAAATAATAAAAATCATAGAGACTCGGCTGATCGATTTCATCGCTGTGTCCACCAACAACATCACAGGACAAATGCTTCGAATCAGTCTCCTCAGATTTCTCTCTCTTCCTTCTCGCTCCTCCTCTTCTTCTTCTTCCCTTTTCTTCAATCCCATTTCTCCCCATTCCCATTCCCAAATCATGGCCACCTCTGCTTACACGACGTCGTCTGACTCCGCCTCCTCTGCGAAGCTCCTCTTCCGCCAGCTCTTCGAGAAGGAGTCCTCCACGTACACTTACTTGCTCGCCGATGTCTGTCACCCCGACAAACCCGCTCTGGTTAGCTATCCTTTAAATATTTTGAATAAAAATTAAAACTTTATAATTATAATTAGGATTTTGATTTTGATGAATTTTAATTTGCAGTTGATTGACCCGGTGGACAAGATGGTGGATAGGGATATCTCCCTTGTCAAAGAGTTGGGTTTGAAGCTAATTTATGCCATGAACACTCATGTTCATGCTGATCATGTCACTGGCACTGGCCTCATCAAGGTTTGGGCTTTCCACCTTCTTCCTCTCATCTTTTTTTGACTTCTTTTGTTAATGTTGGTGCATTTGGATTATTCATGAGTGATCAATGCCTCTGCATTCTTGCTATTTGGGAAAAAAGTTGTGTGCTTTGTAACAACAACTGAGTTATTTGATGAGTATACGTTTTTTTTTCTTTTGTGGCAGACTAAGCTTCCTGGTGTCAAATCTATCATTTCGAAGGCGAGCAACTCAAAAGCAGACCGCCTGATTGAAGCCGGTGAAAAAATACATTTCGGCGATCTGTTTTTGGAGGTTTGGTTAGCACGGGGGTTTTTGTTTTATATGTTTAAGTTTGTTGCACTGTGTTACATGGAAATTGGAAGGTTTTAATGGCTTCTAGAGGAGTAAATGCGTACACAAGCTTACCTTTATATTCCCTCTTTTAAAATTATTGAAGAAATCGAGTATGATTTGAGGTGTAAGTGGGAGAATCATTGTAATGCTTGTTAGGCCAGCCTTGGAAATGTGTTATGTGCTTCCCAGTGATCATCACAGATATTTCATATACCAGACTCTGTGGTAGTTTTTTCTCCTAGGTGAAGGTATAAAACTTACTGGGTTGATTAAACTGGAGTGTTTAGCCCAAATCTGCCAGTAGTGTTAAAGCTCACAATGAGGTTTTAAATACTAAAGAGTCGGCTTTTATTGAATTAATTGCTTTTGGGCCGATAAAGTAGAATGAATACAAAACTTAACTGGTATAGGCTGTGGTCTACCGAGTTCCTCTTCCTGTGAAATATATAAAAGTGACCAAAAGAAATAATTTACTGTAACAAAATTTGTCTCGTCCTTACTGATGTTCAACTAGGTAGTTTTATGTGTGTACACAAAGGGGTGTGCTTGTGCGTGTGTGTATGTTTTCATATGTGTTTGTATGTGTTCATGTACGTTTTATACATGTATCTTATGTGTATATGTTGTGACAAATTGGCCTAAAGAAACAACCTGCTGAAAGAAGTTATGCATGTATCTTACTGGTTTTGGACTAGTTAGAGCTGTGGTTCTCTGTGTCGGGTGTGTGTGTATGTATGTGCATGTATGTGCCTTTGTATATATGCATCTCATGTGTGCATTTGTGTTGCAGGTTCGAGCTACTCCTGGGCATACATTAGGTTGTGTTACCTATGTTACAGGAGATGCGCCTAATCAGCCCCAACCAAGGATGGCTTTCACTGGAGATGCTTTACTCATACGGGGTTGTGGGAGAACTGATTTTCAGGTATAGTACCTTCAACTTTTGAAACTCTTTATAATTTATCTTTTTGTGACAAATTCTGCTGCTTTCAATCAAAATACAAGGAAAGCAAAAATTGAAAAACTAGCAACAGTTTGCCATTAGAAGAGTTGGCTTGTGCTTAAAACATGATTGTTAAGGGGATTTATCAAGTTCCTGAGTTTGATTTCTCTAATCTGTTTGCAGGGTGGCAGTTCACATCAACTGTACAAGTCAGTTCATTCACAGGTAAGAACATGCTGAGCTAGCATGCCTTTGATACCATAGGAAAGAAATGAGTTCAAACATGACTTTATGTTAAAAGACCACTTATTCTTTTGTGCTTACAAATCCAGATTTTCACATTGCCAAAGAATACGTTGATCTATCCTGCTCATGATTACAAGGGATTCAGTGTATGGAACTCACTATTGTCTATTTCTTCTGTACCCTGTATACCTAAACCTAGGCAGCTTCTTATGCCACATATTTGCTTGAGATGCAGGTTAGCACCGTTGGGGAGGAGATGCTTTATAATCCTCGACTCACAAAAGATGAGGTATATATTTCGTTGTTCCAAAAGTGTTAACCCTTGTTGTTGCTAAATTTAATGTTCTTCAGAAAGATGACACTGATAGTATCTGGTTGACGAGTGGATGATGATTTTCCTTTTCTTGTCAAGATTTTGTATATCTACATATCTTGGATCAACAAATGTTTGACTAAGATGTCTTAGCATGATTTTGACCTGGGGCGATATTAATGTGAGGGAGTCTCTGCCTGAAAGCAATCACCTAATTTACCAAGAATAGTTAATACTGGTGTTGCACAGATGTTGTAAAAGAATGCTGAATTTTAAGGGAAAGTAGTGAGAAACTAGTTAATACTGGTGTGAGATACTAGCTGAATAAATTAGCAGTCACTGTAAAGAGTCGACCATATGTGCTGCATAGATGCACTTTTATTTTTCATTTATCATATGGGTATTTTAACACTTCTTCCAGATATGTATCTAACTATTTTGATTTTGAACTCTTTTTTACAGGAAGCATTTCAAAATATCATGGAAAGTAAGTAAAACTATCTAGCATCCAATTTTTTAGAAGTAACCATGTCCAGTTTTAACTGTCATTTCATTTATTATATGATATATTCAACCATTTTAGGTTTGAGTTAAGAAAAATTATGTTTCTTGACAGATCTAAAACTCTCATATCCGAAAATGATTGACATAGCTGTCCCTGCGAATATGGTTTGTGGATTGCAAGATTTGTCTGAAAGGCCTGTTGAGTCTGTGTCAAACTAGATATAGTTGCTGCCACGATTTGCATTTCAGACGAAAACATCGAAAGGGAGCCGGCTTAACCACATGAATCAATTGGCTACGATTTGACTGTACTAAGACCTTGAAAGTATACTGATAATGCCAAGAAAGCAGCTCTATATCCTATGACATCTCTCTTCTCTTCATTTC